CCCTTTCCTGATTAGTGGAAAGAGATCTGGACCCAGGAGCAGAGATGCAGCCTCTTGCAGTTGCATCCAGGGAAACCGGACTTTGTACATCCTTTCTAACCTCTCAGCAGCACATGACTTCATGCTGAATATTCAGATGGCCCCTAACCGCCCTTGTTGTTTCTGGCCATCAGATCATCTCATAGCACTTCTTTCCTCAAGGAAATCTTAAATGTCCTGCCCAAATTCCAGTTCTGCTTCTTTTAATCCACTCTGGCATTTCAGTTCTCTACTTTGTGCCCTCAATATCTGTGTGCAGTTACTGGATGCTGTTTCAGTGCAGCCACACTACAGAGGTAGCTGCATTTCATATCTATATAGACATAGTTTCGTTCTTGAATACGTTCTGTACCTCTGAAATCAAAACCCCTTATTTAAGTGTCAGAATAAGATTTTAGACACCCAACTTTTCATAGGTTCATCCGTTGGAAGGGACCTTGTAGATCATCGGGTCCAGTCCCCCTGCACTAGGCGGGACCTTTTATACAAAGACCCTAAAATGCATCTTTTCCTTTTACTAATGCAATGAATGATATTCTCAGAAGTATTTTCAAACTTCTAGGAGTAACCATTTAGATAACACATTGCATCATGTGGCCAGCCATTGTATTAAATACCAACTTTATTTGGTATTTGGTCATTTTCTTCCATCCCTTCCAACGTTAACAATACCAGAAAGTGTTCTTCATAATTATTCTTTAGCAACCATGTCTGGTCAAATCAAAACAGTGTCTGGATTTTCCTTGGGCTATTAACTAATTGCTAATAATGAGTAATGTCTTGGGAATTACAAACCTACCAGCTGGCATAATAATTTCACTTATCTTGCTGATTTTTAAACATAAATATTATGTTACACTCCTAATCCGTAGAACTAGAAGATTGTAAGAACATCCTTTTTCACGTGTAATCCCTCCGCGTTGATATTGCCCTGGAAGGGACCGGTTCTATGTGGCAATTGAGCACTAAGGGCTTCAGAAGCGCCAAGTTACTCATTGGAAGTTGCAGAGCCATGTCCACAGCTTTTCATGCTTTGAAAACTCGTATTTTGCCGGCACAACTTTGCCCCTTTTGGAGGAAAAACAACGGATTGGAAACGACACGGAGCTCTAGTGCCATCCAGTGTCCGTCCAGTGATGGTCATGTTGGAGTCACGTAGCCATGATGGTCCAGGAACGATGCAAGAGGAAAAAGGGGCATCTTTTACTGGACTATCAGGACTCGTAGTAGAGATGATAGCTTTCATTAAGCCAACAAGATTTTTGCAAAAAAAAGTCTTTAATTGCAAGTTTTCAGGCACAAACGTTGGATATCGGTTTGATGATGCAAGGGGTTTTTTGTGTGTCCTAAAGAAACGTGCATTGGCACATGAAATATAGGCAACTCATTGGACCTAAAGTCTGCTGCTTGGTGCCATCAGAGCTAAAGAAATGCAATCTCAAACAGAAATGCAATCAGGACTCGTCATTAAAATGATATCTTTTATTCAATCAACAAGATTTTTGTAAAAAAAAAAAAAATTCTTTTACTTTCTAATTTTTTTTATTTTTTATTTTTTGCAAAAATCTTGTTGATGTAATAAAAGATATCGTCTCGACCATGAGTCCTGATGGCCTTTTGCTGTAGACCAATACGGCTACAACCTGGATACCTAGAAACTCTAGAAAGTTTATTTAAACCAACTAAGGAATTGCAAAAAATGTATCTTTGCATTTCTTTTTTTGTCTCGTACCCGCAGCCCTCCCATTGCATCCTGGGCCGAGCAGCAGGTGGGGTGGGGAACCCTTGGGAATTGGGGGGCAGCTGCTGCCCTTTGACCCTGGGCAAAGGTCAAGCTGGGGCTGGCACGGGCACAAGGGCACTGCCTCTCTCTGCCCTCATCCAAAATGGCTGCCGTGGCCCCGCCTTTGCCTCTGCCCTCGTGCTGGCCCTCATCTAACATGGCCGCTGCGGCGCCCCGCTTGCCCTCAGTTCTGCCCGCACCCAAGATGGCCGCTCGCCGTCAGGTGACGCGCGCCCTCCCTCCAGCCCGCGCCCAATCCGAGTGGAAGCGCTGGGACCGGCCCC